TATTGATAATTTAAATTAACAATACCGGGGAACATTTTTTCTTCGATCGATAATAATACTGTTTTTTTTAATTTATTTACGCTTTTGTTACACACAAAACATTATTTATTTAGATGTAAAAAGCCGCGGTAGCCTATTGACCTAGCGTCTCTCATGCAGAGGCTGTGGCTTCGGATCCGGGCTCGCACCTCTTAAGTTTATCGAAATTTATGTGGGAAATTTAATTTGAAATTTACGTGAGCATTTCGGTGAAGCAAAACATCGTGAGGCAATTTGCTCAGAAAACGTGTGAAGTCCAGAGTGGACTATGGCATAAACTATCGCCTGAGAGGAGACCCGTGCCTCGCAGTGGGAATTGTAAATGGGTTGGTGATATTTAGACGTACGAACTTCGACGTGTGACGCGACGTGGGTGTTCGGTATCCACGACATGCATACATGACACCCTTCTGTTTCACCCATTTTTATATTCTAGCCCTATAAGAATAAAAATACAAGGTGAGTCGAAATTCTAAGAGTATTTCAATGTCATATAACGCTGGAACCGAGCGTCTAAGTGTCGTATTCCTGAACTTTACTCAATGCTCAAGTCAGGACCTGAGTATGATTTCAAGCACTGAAAATCATACTCAAGTCCTTGTCATTAGGGTCGTATTTCCAGTGCTTGAAATCATACTCAAGTCTGCTCAACTTCTGACTTGAGACCTGGTATATGATCCTTAGTATGGCGATAATCCTGACTTTTTCCTTGCATTGTCACTGTTGATGAAACGTGGATTCGGCAGCAGGATCCTAAATCAGAACCAAATTAAAGTTTAAGGAGACTGATATCATGACTGTGGCATCACAGTACATTTAGTCAAATATTTTATATGCCCGTAAAAAGATACATAATTTCAATAAGAAAGAAGATATCCATAATATTAAACTTAGAGCTAAGTCCAAACTCATGGTACCACGATTTCGTTTAACTAAACGACTCTTTTATGGGGAACTGTATACGATCTTACAATAAGATTCCGGAGCATATATTAAGTTTATCGTTTCCTAAGTTCAAAAACAGTTTAAAAAATATTTTGATCGAAGAGTCATATAACAAAATTGAAGACTACGTGTTAGATAAAGATGTATGGCAAGACGACACGACTGCAGATTCCACTCAAATTTGATTCAAAGTGTATTCCATAGCATTTAAGTTTATTTGAAAAGAGCAATCCCTAGAGTTTCTTACTCGTTCTTCTCAGGGAACTCAGCGTAGTGAAAGAGCAGTAGGTTAATGAAATGTAACGTTTTCAAGTGTAAATTTATTTTACCTATGGAATAAATGATCTTTGACTTTGAGTAATTTTAATAGCATAATGCCAAACATACACAAATACACAGAACAGATATACAAACATAAGCTACTTCATAAAGCCTGCGCCCCGAGATTGCGTTTCAAACATCCTCAAAAAACATTTATGTCTAAAAATTGGTAGTGTTTGAGACAGCAGTGTCCGTTATTATAGACAACGTGAAACAACAGACTTTGTTTATTTTTTTTTAACTCTGCCAAACCTAGCTTTATTCAGGGTAATATTTCTTTAGGTAGAAACATAGTAATAAATAAAAATTAAATAGCCAGGGCTGGTACCTGTAAAGTACCTAACTACCTACCTAACCTAACTGGGTGACGAAATACTTAAGATTTCTCATAGATGGCGCTACGGCTAAAAAGTCGTTGATAAAACCAAATACAAAGACACGACAACAAACACAGAAAAAATCATGAGGTCCGCTGGTTCGTTCCGTGGCTTAGCTGGTATAGCGTCTACCACGGTATGCTAGAAGACGGTTCGAATCCGGCCGGATCGAAGGAATTTTCTGAGTATTCGATCTTTGTATTAATAATTATTTAATAAATTTGGATCTGTTTTAGATATAAAAGAGGCAACTCCACACAATACCCACCGTGCAATCCTCTGGATTTTCATTACTAAGGATACACATTATGATTGAAGTGTATATCTAACTATTGACTATGAATGAACTAACTCGATACATGAGTAACGAGTTAGGTCATTGTGACTTTCAAGCGAATCGATTCAATATTGTAATAATACACATCACATTTTGTAATAATATTAAAACTTGATTTACAATAAATATTTAGTTGTAAATAGTTTTTGCCCTCCATTTCGGGCATTAAAGGGTTTATCCCGATTTGTTCAGGTTTGGTATTCTTTGAAATAAAAATTGATATTTTTCTACATAACTCAGTATATGTCACAACAGAACACGTATTTACTCCGTAGCACACAAGTCGCCATGATACAATATTATCTTACCATAGATACAAAACTGTAAAGAATGCAAATGATATAAACTTATTCAGGCTATGTAGAATTTTTGTCCTCAACAAAATCGTTGTTAAAACCCGGGCGCTTGCTTATCTTTGGAAATAAACATTTAAAAATAGGTCAATAAAGTCATACGAAATCAATTTTAAAATGAAACTGTTCAACATTCGCTTTAATGTATTCTTAAAGGCTTTTGCTGAATTTCTGCGTTTTATTAACGACCTCTTTGAATAAATCTCCGTGTGGATAAAAATCGCTTTCTTTTGTTGACAATGTAGACAACTTAATGTTTCGATATCGTTAAAATGTATTCTTTTTGTTAAATACAGTTTTACAAAACTTCATCATCATCAACCCATTTATACGTCCCACTGCTGGACACGGGTCTCCTCTCAAGCTCTCTCTCTCTCTCCCTGCCTCTCTCGAAAAGTTGTCATTTTGCAGATGAGACCTTATTACACCAAGGATACGAAATTATTTTAATGTATGTCTCATAGATATAGAAAAAAAGGGGTATGTGTGCAGTTGAATTTAGTTAGGTGATTCAACAGTATGCGTGACCAACACAAATACTTTAGAAAATGAATAACGTGAAAATTTAGATAAATGAAAAAATCTCGGGAGTTTATGAGATTTTTTTTCAATTTGGGACGCAGATTAAAAAAAGGGTCCCTTTTGGATAACCTACAAGCATAATCCGATTTGTAGCGATGGGTTGAAAATGGAACCCTATGTTCATACACTGTGGTGTGCATGGCGTGCGATCAGATTAATCTAAATACCATTGCCGTTTGTGCGTAAATAAACCTTCCGTCCCAAAAAGACTACATTCACTAGAGCAGCATCATGAACTCAGACAATCAACCAGCTGCAAAACACAGTTCCCGCACTGGCCTCAGTTTCTCAAACATCGAGAATTGTGGAGAACTGTCCCGTATCTTTCAACATAAGTTTTGTTTATATTGGTTATACGGGAAGGACATTATAACCTGTGGAAGCACAGGGACCTTAGAAGTTCAAGTCCTAACAAGGTCAGGTTGTCACGGACTCATCATCATCCGTTTCTCATAAGATTTGAGTGGCCCTAGGTGCACTTTTAGTACCTTCCCTATTTTCCAGATCGAAGCCGGAGCTGTTGGCACGCTCACTTCCGGTTAGCATTACACAACTAATAAAGATATATTTGTGGAGAACTTTCTGACAGTCCTAAATAGAGTAGCACTAGGGTTTCTTTTGAAATAATTCGTCCAGGGAAGTACTGCCATGTTATCTATTTCTGCCGCCAGTTCCGGACATGAGACTTACTTATGTCTCAGGGTGATGGGCGCATTGGCAGTACCCCTCAGATCTTTACTATTTGAAGCTCTGAGTGGCAACTGTTATGGACAGGCGTACATCGTATCATAAAAAAATACTCTTGAGGTTAGGAACAAAGCGGTAAGTATTAATATACATTCTTTGAATATCATTATATGTTTTAACACTATGGTATTCACATATGTTTTGATAAAATTCTCCACTGGTTGGTATTATTCTTGATACAAAAATGTAACAATACAAAGAAAAATTCCGTCGTGCTGTCACACCGGAGCCACTGCTCTTTCCAACTGAGCTACATATCGTGTGTCCAGTCAGATCGAAGGAATTTTTCTATGTGTTGTTCGATCTTTGTATCTATAACAAAGAGGCGTTAAGCTCCGTTAATCACCATTCCCTCATCAAGGATGACGAAGCATCAGATGAGCTAACAAAGAACTAAGAAAGCTTTCTTCGGTTCTAAAGCGACCATCGGAACACCGCCTGACTAAAGTAAGTTATGTAAAAAGTCATGGAACATAAGTTGTTGTTTATGATATTTGTAATGGACTCCTACGAGGTTGATGGTATTTTATAAATAACCCTATATCATCGAGTATATAATCAGAAATAGGGTCGAAATAAGGTCCATCCATCCCTACTCATTAGGTAAATGGGCCTTATATCACTTTTAAATATCAACTCTCGTTTGCGCTGAAATCACAAATTAGAAAGCTGAAATAGTACAGCGCCATCAGCTGACCTGTGTGTACATCTCCGTATATTCCAAAAATATTATGTATTTATTGTAATAAAGATAATATCTCTAACAAAGGTGGGCTGTTCCATTCGGTGGAGTTGGAAAAACAGCAAATCATCTAATTACAAAACAAACGGAATCACATTTCGTCGGCAATTAATCATTAAATATGTAATTTTTAAATTTTTGTCTATTAAAGCAAAGCTCAAGTTAAACTGGTAAATAAGAAACAATTGACAACACCCGTAATAATTTGGCAGAACAGTTTTTAAACAAATTAAATGACATTTCATCTCTATCTGGTTATAATCGATGCTCTGCATAGTACTAAATTTGAATGCGATATTTTAATTACAATGTACACTGGATGTTTACCTAATCACAGGAATAATATGTTGTGGATGGTAGTAATATTTTCGTACCTCTACGTATTACATATATTTTTGGATAATACTCTTGTACACAATATTGATTTACTACGTGTAGAAATAACATTACCTCCTATGCAAACAATTATCAATTATGTTTATAAAACAAAATAAAATCAGTCAATCTTACCATAAGATCGGCAACAGCTAAATGCATTAACAGCACATCTAATCTACTGGCTCTCTTCGCTCGTCTTCTCCTGACGAGCTGCGTCAACACTGTCAGGTTTCCAGTCGCACTGATCACCATTAAAACACTATATACTATTATAGAAACTACATGTCCATGATTAAACTTCATAAACGCTGGTATTTCATCCGTCTCATTTAAATGAGTCCAGTTCTTTTGATGCGCTCCCCCGGGACCGGATACTTTTTCATCTATATCCATTTTTGTTTTTAATTAGCTTGTGTCATTTTGTATGCAATAGGATTTGTATTTATGAGCTTCGTGAATACATTGTTACCTGAAACAAAAGAATATATAATGTAACTCTATATATTTTTAAATATGACGTGTAAGGTGCAAATTTAATACGTGCAATAATAATAAGACATTTATTCACTCTCATAAAAGGAAGTTTGTATAATTCCATATTGATTATTATTTAAATTAAGCTACAAGTCAATAACTACCTTAATGCTCTGGCTACACAGTTCGGCCGCGGAAGCGTTCCGGGCGCGGGAATTTTTGTAATGTTCGAGTTTATATGAACCCTGCCCCTGCCACACTGAAACGCGTCCCGTCTGTCGGCCGACGCGGCCGGAACGCTTTCGCGGCCACTTGTGTGGCCTGTACATAAGCGCGAGACTGGAGACCATATTAGAAACTAGACCTGTGTTACAGATACAACTATTCGCTTAGTATAATAAAGCCACATCCGCCAAACGACAACTTTTCAGGAGAGCGATTACTTCTTATGGGTAACTTTTTTTATTATACCAAGTGACGGGACGAACAAGTCATATGCTTGGTGGTAAACTCAGAGCTTTAAATCGCAAAGATCTTACTGGCACTGCCACTGCGTCCGTCACCCTGAGACATAAGTTGACAAGTCCCATGTGCCTGTAATTTCACTAGAAACCTTTCCCTTCCAAACCGGAATGCAGTAATGCTCACATGGTGGCAGTACTTCCCTGGACGAAGTCGTTCACAAGAAGCTCTACTGCTACTACGTAATTAGTTTCATGTAAGTACTTCGCATTGTTTTTATGACTTTCGAGTGCTTAAAGCAGTTTTTACGTATAATCACATGTGACTTTATTATAGTTTCGTACGTACTATGTTTTTTTTTGTTATATGTTGAGTGTGTGCCTTATAATAGAAGTGCTAGTAGCTGGAAGATTTAAAGATCTGAGGTATACTGCAATGTTATGGACAGGCATGTAGCTTACTAACCCACTTAATATTATAAAAAATAAAAAAAGATGTAAGGTAACAAGCGTGTAAATACGTAAAAAGCTTGACAGGAAAATAGATCGCTGTTAAAGGTCGGCCAGCTACACATTCCATATTTAAATTTATTACTCCATTTAGGCGATACAAATATCATAGATAACATAATTATAGGTCCTTATTAATTGGTACCCTATAAGGACACTGGCACTGTAAAGAAGGGCAGAGGGCACTAATTTTTTAATAAATATATACAAGGTGTAAATTTGAGACGGGGCAGCTAACCAGCTACCTTAATCGTTGTAGTTACAGGAAAACGGTTTTAGAAGACTATCCATGAATTTCGAAGATATTTTGATTGGCAATCACAGATTTTGCATAAATGGTACAGTCAGCAAGATAAAAGGCAATTTTTACAATACTTTTTTTATGCCATTCGATCCGGTCTCTGGTAAGGATCAATAATAGCCTCTATGAGACCAACTGAGGTAAGTGTACTTGAAATATCAGAAATCGCAAAAAACTTTTTACCATACATTTTGTAGGGACATATTTAGTAATCAGTTATTCCAGGTAGTTAAGGAAACTAACAAATTGGCAACGTATTATGTATATTTTAATCTTGAGACTTTAAATGGGTGACGCCAGTAGAAAGGATTTGTTTTTTACAATTCCATATGACGAGGGTACCAAATCTACCTAGTCAGGATTAATATACATGAGGATCGGGTGGTGTTGACATTCCAACGTACGCCAAAAGTCTTTTGTTATCGCACACTTGAAATAACAGCACCCAAAGTTTTGTTTTCTCAGCTCTTTGATTCATTTTAACTTCATTTACGGACCAAAATCAAGTAAATGATATAGTAGGGATGGTGCAGTGGCGACGCGTTCATATAACTCGATTTCCACCGGCTTGCCTAAAATATTCCACGTATTATAAAATACTACATTTTGTGCTAAATTTTAAGTGTAGAATATGTTAACCAGTGAAACGAAGTGTACTAGCGCCTTGTGTGCTCATAAGTTGTGTTTAAGTGTCGCCAAAGCGCCATTTTTTTTAAGGTAGTTTTTTAAGGCTTTACTAACGACAATATTCACGTCTCGCCACTGGTATGGCGTTTTGATGAAAAATTGTATAGTGTTCTTTTATGTATCTATATCAACTTTCTGACAATGTTTCAACAAAATTTCATCGGCATTTAAAATTACAGCTTTTTGTGAATTAAGGTTCCTGGAGACCCTAGAGAGAGCGGTGAGGAGGGCAGCTCCGGCGCCGGTGTTGGTGATGGGGGACCTCAACGCCAAGAGCGCTGCGTGGGGTTCCCCGGTCAGCAATGCCAGGGGGCCAGAGTTGGAGAATTGGGTGGCAACCTTAGGGCTAGTCATCCTCAACCGGGGCCATGCCAACACGTGCATTCGGCGAAATGGGGGGTCAATCGTGGACGTCACGTTTGCGGCCCCCTCACTAGCGGCGCGAGTATCCGGTTGGCAGGTCCTGGAGGACGAGGAGACCCTCTCCGGTACATACGGATGAGGGAGGGTACGTATGGGAATACGCCGCCCACGACGGCCGCCACGGCAACGTCAACGTCAACACGGCCCCCGGGCGGGGGGACTTTTCCAAAGGGGCTATGAGCTTGCAGAGGAAGCAGCCATGGGCCAGGCGTGGTGCCCACCGGCCACCGTCGACGTGGAGGACCATCTGCGAGAGGGCCATGTATAGGGCAAAAGGGATCCCGGGAAAAAAGAGTGTGAACTGGTGGACCGGAGAGATTGGGGACACCGCACCGCCAGTACCATGACCGATGCCATCGAATGCGTCACACCCGGAGTGAGGAGAGAAGGCTCCACAGCGCCTTCAGGGCGCGAGTCAGGCCCTGAAGGTCGCGATAGGACGGGCCAGGGACTCTGCGAAAGAGGAGTTCTTGGCCACGCTGGACGTGGACCCACGGGGGAGGCCGTACAAACTTGTGCGCAACAAAATGTACGGTGCATCCCCCAAGGAGTAATTGGAGCTGGATCTCCTCAACTGGGTGGTGGAGGGTCTCTTCCTCGAACCGCAGCCCTTCACCCCACCGGCCATGGTGGGGTGAAGACAAAGGAACCCCCCCCCGGAAATCACTGAGGGAAGATGGAGTGGGCGGTGGGGCGGTTGCGGGGGCGGAAGAAGGCCCCTGGCACGGACAGGGTGCCAGAACAAGTTCTCCGCATCGCCCTGAAGCATCTCGGGACGCGCCTCAAGCAAATCATGGACGACTGCTTGAGGACGGGGTTGTTCCCGAGATGCTGGAAGGAGGGAAGGCTCGTCCTGATACCCAAGTCGGGCTGACCTGCGGACTCCCCCTCGGGGTTCAGACCCCACGTTCTACTGGACGAGGTGGCGAAGATCCTGGAGCGAATTATCGCCTCCAGGATCAACGAACACCTGAGGGGGACAGGCCCCGATGTGTCACAGCGGCAGTACCGGTTCAGGGCTGGACTCTCCACCTTGAACGCCCTGGAGTCGCTGCGACACATCGTAGACGGATGTGGCCGTCTTCGGCGGGAGAGGTAGAGGTTGAGCGGTGCCGGTGGGCGCCCACATCTCCATCGCGGGAATATCAGTCCCGGTCAGGTCCTGAAATACCTGGGTCTTGTCCTGGACCGGCGATGGAACTTCGGGGAGCATTTCCGGCAGCTTGCTCAACTTGGCACGGTTGCTTCGGTCACTACCTGCACAAGGTGGCGAGGAGGGAACCGTCCCCGTCGTACCACGAGTGCGGCGCTGCGGATGATACCACGCAGCACACCCTAGAGGTGTGCAGCCGGTGGGATGAGCAGCGCCGTACTCCGACGGGGACCATAGGGCAGGACCTCTCGCTGTCGGGCGTGATTGCCGCCATGCTCGGCAGGACGGAGTCCTGAGAGGCGGAGAGGTTAGGCCCTCCTTTTGCGGAGAGGTTATGTCGCAAAAGGAGGCTGCGGAGAGGGTGCGCGAGGATGCGGCGGACGCGCACCTGCTTCGGCGTAGACGTACGGGGAGAAGGCGAGTTCGTCCAGGGAAATACTGCCACCTTACCTATTTCTGCCGCCAAGCAGTAATATGAGCATTCCAATTTTGAAGGGTCAGGGTGCTGATGAAATTACAGGCACTTGGAACTTCTCAACTTCTGTCTCAGGGTAACTTAGATCTTTGTGATTTAAAGCTTTGAGTGGCACTGCAACTATTATGGACAAGCGTGTCGCTTACCACCAGGCGCGCGTTTTGTTCATCCCGTCATTTAGTGTCTTAAAGGATTTTGATGACGTCATTATTCATAATTGCAACTACAGTTGTATTAATTGGTGTTGTTATTTGTCGGTTGGAATTGGTATCGATTTTCCAATTACTGACAGGGATGTCACGTTCAAATCGTTGTTAAGATTATAACTAAGTTTCTGTCCGAGACCAAATAACATAAAATTGGGTTCGAACGTTCGAAAGTTTCGACGGTTCTCAGAAGTCTGCACTGTAGGGTATTTGACAAATAATGGAAAGGAAATACTTTGCATTAGTATTAAAGAATAAACGCGATTGACGATCGAATTTATTTATTTACTCATTTATTGCAATGTCACACTTAAATTATTTTAGGTACAATGATTTGTAAATGTAAATATGACAGCCTCTAAGGGCATAGCAAAGTGATAAGGGCACTTACTCATTATAAAAGTAATAAAGTAGATGTGATCATATTGATTAAATCAATACAATTATATATACATAACATAAGTTGCGAAGGAACGAAGTATTTGAAATTAATCACATAATACATTATATTTTGTCATTGAAAATTATTTAATATTTTGGATGATGGCATAATGTCATGTCAGTCAATGTACTCGAGTAATCTATGGTATATATATGCACAGCATACATACATTCAATAAGAGTAGAGTACAACAACATCTTCAGGATGCTGTTAGGACTGCCACGGCACTGCAGTGCATCAGGCATGTTTGTCGAAGCGCGAACAGATTATTTAGGTTATTATTAGATTAGTATTCTGTGGTAGGTCAATGCCATTAGGCGAAAAAAGGTGTCGAGACGACAAAGAGAGTGCATGAGTGTCAAGGGCATCCTGAAGACGTTTGCCCATCGTTTTGACTGTTCTGAAATTAAGTAATAATTTGTGCATTTTCTGAATTTTAATATTTTAAATTTTATAATCAAATTTTCAAAACTCATTGTTATCATACTAACATAGTTCTAAGGTTTTCTTGTGTAACTAATACCTTTACTTATGGGCTCCTGCCTGAAATAAATGGTTTATGTTTATTATTGTAATGAAAGAATTACTCGACTTTTCCGTTCGGCACGTTCGATAATAATGTGACAATCCTACTCTGACAGTGACGTGTAGGCATCGACGCGCTGAAAATACGGGAGTTATAATACTTGTGCGAAGTGAGCTTAATAAAGAAAAAAACTGTCAATTACCCTATTGTATGATATTTAATTAGAAAACTTTGCCGTCACGTTTTGAAATGTAGTTAAAAGTTTGTTTACCCTATTGACATTTCGTTTTGAATACAGATGACCGTTGAAACTGTGTGAGACTTTATAGGGTTAATTCAACTTAATTTTCTACGATATTCATTTAAATTTCAATTAATTTTATAAAAATTTATAAGAGAGCTAATTCTATACCACTCCATAAATTCAGGCCTCACTTTGAAAAAGTTGTGAACCGCTAATGTGCCGTGACCAGGTTCACGGCAATAAAATAGAACACCCCGGTCCACATAAATTATTTCATAAGTAAAGTCGAAAGAAAAAAGAAAGGCTGTAACAAGAAAAGCGTATAAAAAACAGGTACAACGCTAGAAAACACTCCCTACTTAAGCACTAAAAACGTGAGACAGACTTACCCCGAAAGGGCCAAGTTATATAATTTATTAGGTTTTTTTTTTAATAATAAAATATCTTTATTTATCTCCATAACACAATACAAAGAAACGTTACAATTACAGTAAATATACATTATTACGTAAGCTTAGAGTAATGTATTCTGGGAGACTGGAGCCCAAACTAAGCAGAGCTTGTAATATGGGTCTCCAGGCACCCAACCCCTAGGATAGGAGGAGGAAGTGAGTGTGTCTGAGTGCATGAGTGAGTGTGTGCCTGAGAGTGTGAGTGCTTGTGTGTCTGTTTGTGTGCGTGTGTATTTGTGAGTGTGGAAGTGTGAGGTTATTTGACGACTTTTAGTAGATTTTTCAGTCTCATCGTAGTTAAGGAGCAAGAGATATCTGGTCAATTTTAGTTTGCATTCGTATTTGGAGAGTTCACAAAAAGGGGATATATTATTTAATTTATTATATAAGAAAAAAAAAGTTATAATGTAATAAACAAAAGTTTTGGTATTAAAAATAGCACATGATTTAGATTGGGAACTGATAAAAGGATCAAAAGTAGACGAGCAGCACTGCTCGCTTCAGCGATTGAGCAGAGAGCGACAAACGGAACGAAAACAAAGTGAGAATGACGGGTATTAATTCCTTTAAATAACGATTCAAAATTTGAAAACAAGTGGCCAGGAATCAGAGAACAGGTGATAAAAATGCGGTATGACGCTAGAAGGAGGTCCCATCGTCACAACTTGTGTGAAAATTTAAACTAATTTGAAAGATATACCGTACATATCGAGTTCTTAGGTTTTCGCGATTGTTACACATAGGAAATGAAACTATTTTTCCGGATTTAAATCGCGTATATTTGTTTTTGGGACCTGTAAAGGGTTCCGAAACGTCGGTTTGTTTGAAAAAACAAACATACGCGGCTTAAATCCGGAAAATTGTTTTATACAATTAATACAATTTTTACTTGGACTAAATACATTTCTTACAAATTAATAATACTCACATTTTGTAAGAACATTTTATATAAACCTCTTGTCATATTACAATCATTTCATATTTATCATTTTTACGAGGTATAATATTCATATCGTATCATTTTTTTATGAATAATGAGGTCAAGCCCTACTCGCCAGAGGCGCGCAGGAAGGGTCTGTTTTCCATAATACATTGCTGAATCTTCGTTACGATCAAAATTATAACTGTTACACAGTGGATTCCTTGGTGGTTTAAAAGAAAACAAATGGATTTTACATTGGGCCAATATTGGTTGCGCACCCCATCCAGTAAATTAGGTTAGTTTTGTAAATGAAAAACATCGAGTATATAACCAGAAATAGAGACGAAATAAGGCCATCCAACTCTGGCAACAAATCAGGCAAATGGGCCTTATATCACTTTTAAATGTCAACTCTCGTTTGCACTGAAATCACAAATTAGAGAGCTGAAATAATACAACACCTACAACTGACCTGTGTTTATGTCTTAGTATATTCCAAAAATATTATGTA